TGTCTACTCCTTGAATTCTGAGTACAAGAAAAATGGCAGCAGATTGTTATGTAGAGAATCCAGTAGGATAGCACATAACCCTGGAGAAATTAAAGTTTCTCTTTAATGGAAAATGGTTTGTTACCATCCTATACCACGCGGTTAGCCTCTGAAATCTGGAACATGGAAAGCAATGTGGCAATAATTTACAATTAACTAATACAGTGCAAATCATTCCTTGGTTGTTTTGTGTTATGAAATTTGGAGAGATGTAAAATGCACTTGTGCTAGTTTATTTCCTTTTGAAATGGTAATTACTGTTGCTGAGGGGCAGCACTTAGTACAGAAAAGGAAACATGCACAGAAAGGAACTCATCTGTGAGGAACTGCTGAGGGACCGTAATGATCTGAAAAAGTGCTTTCTTGAAACACACACACACACACACACACACACACACACACACACACACACACACCTTATTTATGAGACTCTAGTCAGCTAAATAAATAAAACAAGGCCTTTCTGTGCAAGCCTCAGTGCTTGCTGCTTTGCCACTGACTATGCTTTTTCCTATCAAGGGCTGGAATGTGGCTGAAAAGAGGGAAGTACAGCTGTGCAGCACTCCAACTGGAGCCCCTAGACATACTGTACTTGATTCGATGCCTGTGAAAGGGTGCAGAGTGTGCTTCATGCAACTGGCCCAGTTCTGCTGGCTGGGGTGGAGTAGGTGAAGTTTATGACACTTGTTCATCCTGCTCTTCCCATGGCTTTTGGAGAAAGTTGGCATCACTAGCCAGGAGCGGTCCTTCCCCTATGAGAGCATAATGGCTATGATTATAACCAGCTCATGGGCAAAGGTGCAAGGAGGAAGGCTTTCTGGGCTCTCTTAACTTTATTACCTTGCAGGGCTAGTCACAGTCTAGCTCTTAATGTCTCCAAGTTAACAAAGAAGACTATATAGGACTTCATTTACCAAGAACGATGGGTTTGTATTTAAAGTTAATGACAGCCAGAAGCTCAAACATTTCTCCTGAAAGCTTGTATGTTGCCCTATAATCTTGCTTATAGTAAGGATGATAATGATAAATAATATCCATAGCGCTTCTCAGTCAAATGACTCAAAGTACTTTCCAGACATTGAGCAATTTAATGTCATGACAATTACTTAATGTAGGCATTATTGATGTGATGTAGGCATTATCTGCATTTTACTGTTGGGGAAACTGAGGCACAGCATTACATCTTGGGAGCCGGGCAGCAATCAACAAGCACACAGCATGCTGCACAATAGCAGAGGTTGGAGGTATTTTGGTCTAGGACATCAGCGTCCCAGAATTACTAAAAACACGGTGGGATCTTTAGAATCAAGTAAACTGACAGACAGTTTCTAAGCTTTCCATCAAAAATTCTCCCTGCATAGTAAGCCATAGTTTCAGTTTATCTCTCTCAGATGTAAATGGGATGAGTTTATCCTGCCAGGATTTGAACTTGTGGTTCTAGCAAGTCTGGATATTTTAAACCTGATGCTTAGAACACTCTGTACAATAGTTTATTTTACTCCTGAACTTTTAGGCCTGAATTTCATTTAAATACATGGCCTTTTAAACTGAGTGTTTTAAAATTGCAAGTGGCAAATTACTTATACTGGCATAGTTAGACCAGTTCCATGGTTCCCTGCTAATGTTCCAGTGGATAGGTCACTAGCAGAAGCAGGCACAGTCAATGGAGTAGCGCGCACTTCCACTAGCTATGAATTTGACTCAATATTGATGGTGATCAGAGTAGGATGAGACTGCATACCTAGAATCTACCAGCTGTGTGTTTCATTTCAGACTATTTACTGTCTTATTACCAGCTGTCTCAGACTGCTGTTATTTTTGGATAGCCTATTTGATCTAGCTGTTGTTCATCTCTACTTCTCAATGAAAGTCTTTAGGAGATGAAGTGGAGACTAAGTGAGTTCTCAGCACAAGTGAAGTGAGCAGTAGCCCATCCATAAGGAGAGGCACTGGAATTGGTTGTTTTTGTTCTTGCAAGGTGGGTCCCTCTATTCTCTGAACATTTCAAGCTGAAGGAAGTGTGTTCAATGGATGAGGGGACACTCTTGAAGGGGATGCTGAGGGTGCCTGCAACAACTGATGCAGGACTAATGCTGGAAGATATGTAGGTGAAATTGGGTTTGAAAAGAGGACATATTATACCAGCTTGTCAGTGGTGGGGCAAAAATGGATGCAACCAGTCCAGTTTAGTCATATTTTGATTTAGTTTGAGACTGTAGTTTTGCCTGGAAAAATAAAATTTCCAAGCAACTCTGATAATTTGTAAGCAATGCAATTATTACACTGCCTGCTGTGCATTATTGTCCAATAGTCACGAAATGTTCTGCTTTCTTTGTATCACATGCACATCTTTTTTTTTTTTTTTTTTTTTTTTAAATACAGGCTAAAAGTGGCCAAGGCAGTAAGAAATTACTATTGCACATAAATGGATGCAATGCAAGGGAATAAGTAAATCATAAAATAAATTAGACATTAATTTACTACAACTGCCAATGTGCTCATAGTAACAGGTAGCATTTTCCATTTTGAAAGAGAATTATAAACATAAAAATCATAAGCATCCTTGTGTGGTAGGTAAGCCGCTACTATTATCTTCATTTTGCAGATGGGGAAACAGAGGATCAACTTTGCTTTCACTGACACCAATATAAATCCAGAGTAATTCCACTCATTTCAGCTGGTGTCAGTGTGGGGCAGAATCTTGGCCTAGGGACATTAAGTTATTTGCCAAATGCTGCAGAGGGCATCAGGATTAGCCAAGATTAGAATGTGGGAGCAGTGTGGCTTCCCAGTCCTGTTCTAGCACCACTAGACCATGTAAATAAACTTGCTAATAGTAAGTGGGAAGGGTCGCTTCTCTGACCTTTGATAGGCTTAGAACGCTTCTTCTGAGCATAGGGAAATGGGCCTCCATTCGTAAAATTATGACTAAGTCTCTAAGCGAATTTTGCACAGCATAGACACATGCATGATGTATTTCTGTAGTTAGAAAAAGGAGTTGTTTCCCATAGTGCATATCAATCTAGGCAGCTTAGTTTGACTCCTGAGGGCATTCTGTGCCAAAAAAATAAAAATTCTGCATACAATATTTTAAAATTCTGCAAAATTCTGTGAATTTTATTTGTCAAATAAATGTGGAGGCTCCACAATGGCTTTGGGGAGCACAGGCCACTGGCCACACAGGGGTAGGAGGTCACTGTGCAGCTCCCACCTGGGACACGGACTCGGCGGTGAGGCTGCACCCAACCGTGACACAGCGCAAGGATCGGGACTGCCCCAGAACACCCCAGGGTCTTGCCCCTCCATATCAGGTGTGAGCAGGCAGGTTCAGCATGGCAGGATCCAAGTGTGGAGGGGCTTAGTGTGGGGAGGATTGAGGTGTGGGTTGAGAGGGTTCTGTGTGGGGCAATCTGGGTGTGGGCAGCTCAGTGGGGGATCCGGGTGCGGGGGGTGATTTGGATGCACAGAGGCTTGTCGGGGGGGTTCTGGGTGCAACAGTAATGGGACTCTGCAGGGGGGTCCAGGTGAAGGTGGCTGGGGATCAGTGGATGGGGGTCTGGGTAGAGGGGGCTTAGTGGAGGGTCCTGATGCTGGGGAGTGGGGCTCAGTGGGGTGGGGATCCAGGTGCAGCTGGTTGGTGCTTGGTGGGTGGGGATCTGAGTGCAGGTGGCTTGTCGGGATGGTCCAGGTGCCAGGGGAGTGGGCTCATCGTGGGGGAAGGGGGTTGAGTGTGTGTGTGGGGTAAGGCTCAGCGGGAGGGTCTGTATATTAGGGGGTCTGGATGCATGGGGGTTGGGCAGATGTGGGAGCAGATCCCTGTACAGGGATCCCTCCCACTGCAGCTGAGCAGTGATGGGTACAGGAAGCAGGGGGTGGGGGGCAAAATTTGCAGAGCTTCCTGCAGCTGGGGAAGAAATCTGGGGGTGGGTCTGACCCAACCCTGGATGCCGTGCAGGGGAAGAGGAAGTCCCATCCTCCCCAGCCGGGACTAGCAGCTGACTCCAGGCAAGGGTAGGAGCTACCAGCCAGGTCTTCCCCAGTCCTGCCCCCTGCCCCACAGTGATTTACCTCTCTGCCAGCAGCCTGGGCACTGGAAACATGACCGCTCTTGTGTCTTTCCTTTGCTTCCCTGTCAGAAAGTCATTTTTCTGCAGGGAAGCAAAGAAATCTGTGGTGGACATAAATTCTGCGCATGCGGAGTAGCACAGAATTCCCTCAGGAGTATAGTTTGCAGTTACTTAAATACCAGTGGACCATCATTTGTTTTCATTTTGAATCAGGAAGCAAATGTACAGGCACACTCTACCTCTCACTGATACTTGGATTTTGTTCCATTAAAGTCTGAATATGTATTCTATGAATAAGGTTCTTATTTTCATTGTCAAGCCCATTGTGCTTTTGGAAATTATAAATGATTCAAAGCTTTCTATATTATTTAGATTTTCCCACAATTTTCCTCATTTCATAATTTAGACTGCTTTTGTCTGTGTCAGACAGACTATACCTCTGATGCCTGGAGACAATCAACTCTTTGAGAGGCTGTTTAGCAACACTGGGTAATATCTGCAAGGAACTTTTCAACTGACCAGCGATTATTTTGAGTAAACCAGAATTCTCAAAGAAAAATAAACTTTTATTGCTCAGATCTAAACCGTAGTTTTTTATCAGAAACCATCTTAGCCCTAGAAAATAAAACTTCTTGAGACACTTCTGATCTACTCTCTTTCAATCATAGTGGTATACAAGTAGATTGGAAAAGCAAAGTGCTTATGATTATATCTGCTTTTATAAGTTTAACGGTGATCATTGGACTAGGAACAGAGTGCACAAGTCATTTTATCTACATTATTTGTAGCCAATCTCTCTATTTCAGAACACGAGTGCTTCTGACCTAGTTAAACTCCTGCTATTTTGAAGATCATTAATAAAAAAACAACACCTCTTGGAGTCTGCACACTCACTTGTTGCCCAGTAATTAGAAGGATAGAGCCTTCTTTCCCATGTACCACTTGCCGGTAAATGTGATCTAGAATTAAGAGTTCACTCCAGCAATTCTGAAGCAGCTTCATTTGGTCATCAACCTGTAAACCAAACAGAAAAATTGATAGTATTACTTTGGTAATAACTCTTACAAAACTCATATTGCACAGATTGCTGAAGGAGAAGAGGGTAGCATACCACCCTTTTTAGTTGTCTGGTTAAGTTTCAGATATTCAGATTTAATGTTATGAGAACTGAAGTGATGTCAATAATTATTGGTGTCAGAACATTGATATCACAGCTAATAGGCCTTTGTCAATAGATGGCACAATCTATGGTTAAGTAGAATATTTATAACTGATTAACTGCTAGAATAAGGTGATCCATGAGCACTAATAACCAAATTATACCGGACACCGGGTGAAATGCCCACTGATCACTAGGAGCAATTAATTTTATTTTTCCATTTTAGCTGCTTATCTCAGGAGATCAGCATTCTTTTCCTTGCTCAACCACTAGCCTGCTGCGTGACCTCATGCCGCAATTTCCCTATCTGCAAAATGTAGATGATACTCACTTTCCTTTAGACTGCTTTGAGATCTATGAGTGAAAAGCTCTGGAGAAGAGCTGAATATTATTATATGCCTATTATGTTATTAGGGCAATGTTCTTTTAAACTGAAGCTTTCACCATGGACTAATATAAATTGAATAACTGAGCTTGACACACGCTTTAAAAGAAGTAATTAAAGAATTTTAGAGCTTCTGACAAAAAAAAAAAAAAAACAAACAGCTTTGGGGTGTGGATCTTATTTGACCCACAGAACATGCACAGAAAATACAGTGCTAGTGCAAGCTTCTCCATGCTCCCTGCCACTGAGCCTCACTCTTTAGACGTACTGGAGAATCAGCAGAAAAGTATCAAAATCCCAGATGCATTGACAAGCCCAAATCCAGGATTAGTTCCAGTAAGAAGTGTAAATACTGCCTCCATCAGTGCTGGTGTTACACTGAAAAAGGAAGGATGCTTCCTCTCCAGAGTTTACTTCTAGAAACAAAATGGAACAGGATGGTCTCAGGCAGGAGAAGAAAATGTATGTACAAGCAGTAGTCAGAGATTTGTACAGTAGTAAGAGCTGTATCACTGACTGAATCTGGTAATACCAGACGCATATCTGACACTAGTCCTGATTCTGACCTCCCAGAATATTGTCCAGGCATTGAAACATAGCAATTGCAGCAATTATAATCTGAGTCAGAGAACAGACTGGAAGAGACTGAGATTAAAGGAGTCTGTCTTCTCCCAAAAGGGAGGAGAAGAAAAAACATGCAAAATAAAGGGTAAATTTCCTGTGAGTAGTACACCTTACTGAATACAGAGAGTAAACAGTGCCAGAATGAACCTAGAGGATTCATGGTGCTACTGTATACTGAAACCAAGATTTTCAAAATGGATTCCTGAATTTAGGTTCCTAAATTGTTTAGGCAACTTAATCCAAACGTGCTGAACATTTGAAATCAATAGGTGTTGCTATGTGCTTAGCACTTTTGAAATTCAGGCTGTGGATTTAGGAGCACTAATTTTTGAAAAAACTTAGTCTGAATATACAGACATGACACAAACTAAACCAATGCTATGGCATTAGGTAGTGGGACCAGTGAAAAATAATCCTTTTGAGAGAAAAATGCAGGTAAAGTGCACTGACGAAGTGGGTATTCACCCACAAAAGCTTATGCTCCAATACGTCTGTTAGTCTATAAGGTGCCACAGGACTCTTTGTCGCTTTTTACAAATCCAGACTAACACGGCTACCCCTCTGATACTTGACACAATGTCAGTGTTTTTCTTATAGAAATTGGTCCAGATGACATAGATGATACAACATAAACAGCCATAGATGTGCAATTGTAATAAGACTGTATAATAGTCATAGATGAAGCTTCAAAAAAATGAGTGATCATACTTTATTGCCACATTGTTAATCTTATTTCTATACTTGGAACATATTGAGAAAAATATTGTAAAACATCTAGAGAATAATGGAACCATATTTAATACTTTATTAATGCTCAAGAAGTGGGGGCATACTGCACAGTACTGAAATTTGAATAATACAAAAGGCTTGCTCCAACTACCATTAAAATGAAGGGAAAACAGCATGTGCTAAAAGTGGTTTGCCAGAATGAGTGATAATAGCGAATAGCAAATTAGAGAGAAAACCTTAAAATATGATATGGCTGCAAAGAAGTGGTTTGCAGTATGAGGCTGCAAACAAGTGGTTTGCAGTACAATGTGTGTATATATGCAATGCAGTTTGGGTTGCTTATATAAAGAGGCACCGTCTTATGGAACAGGATGATCCCAGCAACTGTATCTCTCAGTGAAAATGGTGTGACTGCAACTGGAATATTGTGTTTTAGTTTTGGACTTTTTTTTTTTTTACCAGGAAAAGAGTGAGAAATTGCAGGGGAATCATATAAAAGCAGCACAATTATCAGGGGGTGGAGAGTCTGACTTTTAAGGAATGATTAAAGGCCTGACCCTACAGTCTCATTACAAGCAATAGTCCTACTGACACAAAGTGAAATTTTGCTTGCTTTGGATACTGCATGATTATGCCCTAAAAGAATACATATTTTTACCGTAGCTTTGCTGGGCAACACTTAAATGGGAAGCATGATAAGATTCAACAAATATGTAAAGGCTGTAATCACCACTGATGGATAGGAACTGAAGATAATTAAAATATTAATAATTCAGAGAAATAAAACAAAATTACAGAAGGGAAAATTTAAGCTGAATATTTACCTAAAACAATTTCTGAGAGACAGACCTATTAGGCTGCAAAACAGCCTTCCAAAGGAAGCGGTGGACACCCCACAATTTGATACATTTAAAACTAGACTGGGAAAAGCACTAGAAAAATGTATTTCAGGGAACAATCCTGCATAACTGGACAGCTAAAGTAGGTGATGTAATAGGTCTTTTCAATTTTTAACTTCTAGGACTCGAACTTTTTATCAGTTGCACCCTTTCAGATTTAGGCTACAGCCAACAGAGTGGTACTATTTGTATGGTTTGCTTAGCCTAAGAAACTGAAAACTTTTATTATAAGTAGGGCTAGTAGTGCTGCCTATTATTAAGGTTGCCTGACACCTCCCATTATAAGTTCCTGTTTTCAGTTGCTTATAATTTTGTGAAATTTTATCCATTTGGGCTGAAATTTTCCATGGTGGTTGTCTGTCTCAGTCTGAATTGCTGTGGAAAGTTTCAGCCAAAACAGTTCAATCAATTTCCAAGAATGAAACTAGGGAAAAATGCTTTGTTCTTCCCCTGTTAAAAAAAATCTTGGCGACCTTTTCATTGAGAACCTCTAGCTCTCCCATGCTGTGGAGCAGGGACTTGAATTTCAACCTTTGTATCAGGGATGTATCTTTTTCCAGCCCCGTGAAAAAATGCCCAAATTTGGTCAAGTTAGAAGTCTTTGGAGAATTGCAGGTCACATATGCTCAGTAGAGACCTTTCAGATTTTTAGCAGCTAAATTTCCTGAAGATTCTGTCTGTACTCGGCATGTTCCAGCCTAGTGCTGAGCAGGGATTCTGCTGCAATTGCAGTGCTGGGGTGTTGCTGGCCATGCCAGCTCTGAGTCTGGGAACATGAACTGAGAGCAGGGAGGCCATCTATTCTGTGCTCTCTGCTGGGCACAGGCAATGTGGAGAAAGCTGCCTGATTCAAATGCAGAGGGACAACAGCTGGACCTACCTGGGGAGCCGGGGCGATGAGGAACATGGGTGAGGCCAATGGAGGTGAGGGTGGGCAAGAAAAACAAATCAGATGAAAGGTGGGATGGGGGAAATGGGACTATCTTGGAAAAGAGACTGGGACTAGGGGATGGACTGGGAATGGCTGGGCAAGGAGACTGGGGTGAGAAGCTTGAGGAGTGAGAACTGGGACTGGCAACGTGAGGAGAATGGGATTGGCGTGAGGAGCTAGGGACGGGAAAGAGACCAGACTGGGACAGGTACAGGTTGAAGAGGATGGAGCAATGGGGTGTTGCTTGGCGGGGAATGGGTAGAAGAGCATGTGCTCACTAGACCACATTCCTCTTCACAGTCAGTGGAACCCAGGATTCCTGAGTCTTGTCATTCCTCTGCTGTCAGCCAATACCTGTAAAACTCACTGCCATCTCCTGCTATCCTCCTCACAGAGGATGACAGCCTACTACTGTTATCAGTTACTCCGTTAGTTTAAGTGGCAGAGATATGTGGTAGAGATTCCAGCCCTGCTGATGACCTATATAGGTGTCAATTTGATGCCACATGATGGAATTTTGTGGTTTTTTTTTAAAACCTAAGATATTACACAGAAAGTCTACATTAAAAGAATATTATTAAAATTGCAAAGTCAACCACTCGAAAGTTAGGAAACGCCAGAACTCAGGTTACCTGTGCAACCTTAATTTGGTCCCGTTGTGCATATGCATTATGATACAGCCTTTAATTGCATAATCACATACTATTTTTTCCACAGAACCCTGCCTCATTCAGTGAGCAAGATGGACCTGCTTTGGGGATGAATGAGGGTTCTGTAGTGAAGAAATTGCTGACTGTAGGATACCTGCTTCATTTGTTGCAGAATTTGGAAGGTACATACTATTTGTACTACTGGGGCTGGCGGTTCTAAGCCTGCTCATAACTAAAGGCCAACCTCCTCAATTAAGGGGGGGAGCCACTAAGTCCAGGTTACAGTTGATTGTTGGGGACAGTAAAGGAGAAAACAGGAATGGGAGTGAAGTTAAAGGTTGAAAATTAGGAACCAGAAGGGGAAACTGGGCAGAGAGCCCCAGACACTACCCACTGCTTCTCAAAGGAGCTCAGGAGTCAGTGGACACTGCCCAGAGGAACTATGCCCGGAGATGTGAGCAGACAAGGGACTGGAAATAGGCTCCACAATTGCAGAGCACCCCTGCCCTATACAGCTTTCTCCTCCTGGTATGATTGATGGCCATCTTGGCCAATGCCAGGAGGAGGTTGATGAGGAGGTCTCATGACGCGGGGCAGTGGATGGAGTGTGCAAGGATCAGGAGATGTGGGGAGAAGT